AGTTCTGCAACAAGGCCAAGGTTGTGGAAACTAAGGTGGATACTGCAGTTCTTTGTAGTGATTTTGCAACATAGATCAGTTTGAGAAAGTAACTGATCCAACCAGGTCTCTGGAGTAAAACTTTTCAGGCGGAAAATACAAGCTGTCAAATAGGATACACAAGCAGCCTGAAGTGAAGTATGCAACTAAACTGTTTCGGTCCACCAGAATAGTGCCAATGTTAATCAAGGACAGAAAAATAAACAGTCTGCCACTTGCCTTTCACTGACCACACTTCGCAACTGCATGTCACAGCACAAAGAAATTTAACATTCCAATAAAAGAAAGCTTCCTGAACCCCACACATAATTTTTAAAAAGCATGTTTGGAATTATTTTTGTCATAAAAATGAGGGTCAGAGTGAAGATCACAAGGAGTAATAAGCCAATCTTGGTCTATTCTTTAAAAATATTGGTTTAAATTATTATAGGACACACCTCAGCAGCCCCCCGCCCACACACACAGTCTTGGGAAAAAGCACAAGACCTCAGCAGATAAGTGATGTGCCTAAAGTTAAGCCTGTACTTATGTTTCATTAAAATAATGTAAACGTAAGCATGTGCTTGTCTCAATAGCGGCTATAATATTGTAATTGAATTGGTAAAAAAAAATCACCTCAGATTATAAACAGGCCACACAAGCTAAATATAAATTTATGCATTCTTAAGCCACACTGGTCTTGTCCTTGATAGAAGCAAAACAAGTTTGGTCTTAATTCCCATCACAAACTGGAAAGTCAGTAAACTGTGATGCTGACTAAAGTTACATGAGACCACATCATTTATGTTTGGTTGTGAAATGAAGTAATGCAAATGAATTACAGAAATCCGTTGGGCCAGATTAAAATCAAATACAACTATAGAAAATTAATGAGTATCAGGGGGAAGGAGGCGAAGAGGACAGGAAGTCATGACAAGTGGAAGTACCAGATACAAAAAAGGAAGTCAGTTACTTTCTATTCTCCGAGTAGTAGGCCACACTAACATAGAAGTTGTAGTAATAGTTACCGGAAAAGCAGCAACAAGACCCCAGCAGGTTAGACTAGACCTTAACAATTTTGTCAAAAATGAACGAATGCAAAAAGTTGCCATCTTGAAGTCATCAGTAATTGATATTTATTGGATTTTACACAGTTCCAACTTGTTACTGTTAGTAGTAATAAAATTCTAGTTATTTTTGGTAAACGCCATTCACTCTGAACGGAGAAAAAAAATAGCACCTTACCATGTACTTTTAAGCACAAGTCCCAGGAAGGTGATGCCAGGAACAACTAAAATCTACGGAACAGAAGTAGAGTGGGAAACAGGACAAGTTATTCAGATTTGATTTATCCTAAGTGTAGGATTCATTCCATGCATTACCACAATGCATCTGTCTACAGTGAACACTCCACATATGAAGCAGTGTGTTTTCATGATTAATCCTCTGTCAGCAGCCATGAAATATCACACTGGAAGCAGTCAGATGTCATCTTGGTCATTCATTAAACAGACTAAAACAAACTATTTTTCAAATGAGCTTAATAATGAGGAATTCAATGCAAAAATTAAGTTCTCTTGTAGTTCTGAGAGCTCTGTTTATTAGCAAGTTCCAGGTGATTTGTTTTATATTCTGGTATGGTTATTGGTCCAGCTACAAAGGTGCTACTATACAAGTCTGGCAAGGACAACAACTCAGACTGGAAATAAGTATACAATCTTAGCCCTGAAGGAGTTGGAACCTCATTTCTGGCAAGTAGCTTTAGTTCAGAACTTTATTTAGTTTCTCTCTCATGATAGGCATAAAGTAAAACTGTAGCAATTTTATTGTTAAATGCCATTAGTCTATTGCTTTTCAACTCAACAGTGAAAGTGGTAACAAATGTTGTACATCAACTCACTATTCCTAAATATTCATAATCCATTTCAGAGCATAATCTAATATGAAAATCATGTCCCAAAAACACAGCTTAAAGATTCTGAACTTCTCCAGCACATTGGTGATAGAAGACAGCCTTCCATTCCTAGGTCATCATTTCAATCCCATAGCTGATTGGCAGTCTATATGAAATGCATTTGCAGTCTCAATCCAGTTCCTAATAAACAGGCACACACATTACAAGAAGTTACACTCAGCCATCTGAGAAAACAAATGCTTGCTTACCACTGGAAGCAGTTCTCTTCCAGACTAGAGCTTTGGCATAGAGATGGTAAGTTTGTCCCACTGCTGGCAACTTGTGTTTCAAACGTCTTCTATATAAAAGACTGCACATGTCAATCACCAGCACAGTTAATCTGCATTTCTTACAAGTACTAAATCCATTCTGTAAGTCTCCAAATGTTTTCCTGGATCTGACATTTTAATTGTAATTGTGATTTAATTTAAATTTTTCATATTGCAAATTAATGAACAAGCAAAGGATTTACCAGGGTCTGCAACAGATAGTCTATCATAAGGTGCTGAATATATACATAAACTATATTTGTCAGATATATTTAATAAATAGTATACCTCAAAAGTTATTGCCCCCACAAAACAATTTTACCCACAAAACAATTTTTGCATCTCCCATCCTATTTCTTTTGAATACACAAAAGCTTACATCTGTTACAAAACCCATTTCTGTAGACCCTCACATAGAACTTTTAAATTTGTTTAATCCAATTATTAACACCGCCAATCAGAAATACATTGCTGTGAACTTTTGAATCTGTGTTTCCCCAAACAAAACATTCTTCTGTAAAACTGCATTTATAACAACTGGCACAACTGGTTGTGTTCCCAATTGCAAACTTGATTGTGTACATAGCCCTTTGAAATATAAGTATATTGTATTAAAACAGGTATTTGTGTAAATAGATTTCACATTATTTATGTATAGTTTAACCTAAGCAATAGCTTCACTTAAAAATATTGGTTTGAGTGGAATATATAGAGAGTATTGAAGTTATCTTCCGATGAAAGCATGTAACTTGAAACCATGGGTTCTCCCTTTCCCCTAGTGTGAAGATTTGTCCCTGCTGGGACTTTAACTCAAAAAAGCAGCAACTCAACCACTTGAGGTTAAAAAAAAAAATCTTTATTTGCTGCCAGGCACAGAAGCTCTTGCATCCTTTTTTCAGGCCTCCAGCCACTAAAGGATATGATTATTACGTGAAAGTCAGTGTGTACACATTATTTTAGCTATAGCAGACTAAAGCTTTTTCTAACCATAGTTATGGATTAATGTACACAGATGCCATCTATTAAGTACTAATATCTATATCTAACTCTTCCCCCCCCCACACACACACTCAAGTAAACCCCACTTGAACACACAGAATATCAATCAAAGAAGCAGCACTTTAAGAACTCACACCATATGGTTATGCATTTCAAATACCATGAGTGTAAGTGGAAAACCCAGGTGAAAGCAACTTCAGAATAGAATATGAATAAGAACTGCAATGATAGGAAATTTCTGATGCTCTATTACAGATGTTGGATGTTCAGGGAATGGAAGTGAACAAAACCAGTGAGCTTAGGAGAAACTCTTTATAAACAGACTAATGGAAGAACTTTAATACTAATTGGGAACTGTCTCCACAACACATACACTAACAAGAAGAATGGTAGATTAATTAGAAATGTATAACCCTGGTTTTGGATACAGGGGACAAGAAGATCAATACTGTAAAATAATCACTAAAATGACACTGCCTCTACATGGTAAACTTAGTTTCTTTTCAGGGTTGCACTTATCCAATGTGCGCTTTTGAAATTACCTAGCTTAAATCTCTCAGCTTGCTACAAAAAAAAATTCTCTATATATGGTTTTTATAGACTGGCTGAGTTCGGTCCTCATTTACACCAGCACAAGCTAAGAATAACTCCAGTAAAACCAATGGAGCGATTCTGGATTTACAGAGAGCAGTATTGGCTCCACTGTTTTCACCCCTTGCTGAACAACCTGTCCACTAGAGGAAAACCTTTCACCCAATGAGAAAGCATAGCCATTAAAGCAGAGGAAAAAGTTTAAAAGATCTGCTCGTCAGACTGTCTTCCCTTCAACTTTGTTTATTGATGTACTGAACATGAAAAAGTACAAAGGATCCAAACACAAAAGAAAACATGTACAGCCTCTTAAATACTAAACAGAATATATTTTCTATTCCAACAGATGTGAAGTAATACTGTACAACTTCAAATAAATACCAGCCTTACATTTTATTAAGTGCTCTGATAAACACTGTAAAGTGAAGCCCAATTTACATGCCTTCTCATCAATGCCTTTGTTTGCTACAGTAGTATAGGAAAGAAGCATGTAGCTACTGTTTTCCCCATATTGGAAAGTTTTTATTTTCTAAAGTATATACAACTTTTAATGCAGAGGATTAGCTTCAACGATCTAAGTGCACCTAAGAATGAGAGAGTGCTCAGGAAGTCAATTGAGTTTTGAATAGCATTGAGTGGGTCAGCATGAAAACTCGCTTATTCACTTTAGCACGCGCTTCACAGTATATGTACTGTACTATACTGAAAAATTTATAACTACAGTCTAAAAGAAGAAGAACCAAAAGCAACTGCAAAGATAATGTACAACTATGTTATGCATAGCACATTGCTTGTTCTAAGGGGAAGCATATGAGCATCTCAGTTTATACAAAAAGCAGGACGTAACTATATAGTTGTCAGTGCATCCTGGTGAAGGCATTATAGCCCTCAGCTTTTTAAAAAATTTATTATAAGCTAGATGCTAATCAGAAAATATTTTGTATTTTTTCTTAAATTTCTTCAATACATGGTAAAGACTTTTATTTCCCCAAATAGTGATTTAAGCATCATACAAAGTTAAATTTAATAGTATACAGGTATTTATGATTTTTGTATGAAAAATGTAAGGAAATTTGTTCAAATCCTATGGTTATACTCATTTTTACCACAAACATATTTATAAACAAAAATGTAGCATCACCATAAACAGCTGAAGCTAGACTATCTACAGACAAAATTAGCAACAAATCTGATGCACTGTAAATTCAAGTCCTCAGGACAATGAAAATGAATAAGCAGACCTCAAGTAACAATGTTAATGCCATTTACAAAGGAAAAAACTCATACGAAAACATTCAAAATCTGAACATCACTTGGCAATGTAAGTCAAAAATAAACCAAAACCAAAATTAGCTGAAAGGTTCATAAACGCAAGGTCTTATTTACATTACACAAAGCTCAGGTGTTAGCCTTGAACGTAACTTTCAAAATACTTTCAATTATATCCAACTCAGACTGCTTTTGCTGATTTGCTGAAGTGCAAACCATGTGCAACGTCTTTTCTTAAGACAAAACAATTCTTCAAACAATACTGCAAGTACATCACTAAACACCATGAGCTCTATCTGAAGGGAATTCTTTAGGAAGAACAGATTTTTTTTTCCCCCATCTCTTGGTAATTTAAATTTCTTGCCTGCTCATATATTTTTTTTTAATTTTCATTTGTTTCAAAATCACAAATTAATGTGAGCCACCTATCACATAATAACCAGGATGATCAGAGATTTCACTGATGATTACAAAAATGAAACCAACAGTGTTTCCCATTGATTCTACTTCTTAATACAAAGGTCTCAAAAGTATTTCTACATCATAAATCTTTCTAAATTTTCCCCCAACCATTGCAAATTTCCTGGTAAGTTTTAAAAGCTCACTAGGTGTCATATGAAGAGATTTCTCAAAGTATTCAAGTCAAAATATTTGTTCCAGGACCAGTAAAAAGTTTCTCCAAATTTTTCTTTTTTATAAAAATAGATGCTTTTTTTAAACCCACATCAAAGAGGCTCTTATCTCTTTGGCAAGGTACTGCTTTACGAAAAGTTCTCCAGTATTCTTACAATAAGCTTTTATTATAATGTACCCCCCATCCCCAACCCAAATCATAATTACAAAATAAATACTGTTTATAACTTTATAAATAAAATGTAAACTTCAAAATACTTTTCTTGAACAGACAAAACAGCAATGCATTAAATGTAAATTAAACACAAAGCTAATCAGGAAAACACAACATAAAACAACCAAGTTAGGGATTACAACACAAAGCCTCAATATTAACTCACAGGTTCAAGGCAGTTATGTAAAAAGAAAAGAAACTTCTTCCCTTAGCTGAAACATTTTAAAAGGTCCACCTTCTTCAAAGAAGGCAATAGAATGCATTGTGACAGGTAAAAACCCTGTACCTCTTGTCCATATTCAAACATAAAAGATATTTAAGAAGTTTTAATTCAAATACTAGCAATAAAAAAATCTCACATATTCTTAGGATGCTAAGTAGTCATTTTATCCCCATTTCAACACTGACTTACAAAGACATTGACTAATGTATAAAGTTTCTCTTAACTTGCCTTTGTTGTATAGTTTTCATATATAAATGGATTGAGGATAACTCATTAGGCTTTGTGCGTTTTGTTTGTTTTAAAGGAGACCTGCAAGACTCTGTCCCCAAGACGGTATCCATTCAGGCTGGCTATTGCCATAGCTGCCTCATCATAGTTTGTCATAGTCACAAATCCAAAACCTTTGCACTTGTTTGTGTTAAAGTCACGGATGACCTTCACATTGGTTACTGCTCCGAAGGGTCCAAACATTTGCCACAAAATGCTCTCATCTGCATCAGGTGCCAAATTGTACACAAAAATGCACCATCCCGTTCCTGCATGTCCAGGGATATTAATTCCGGCCAAACTGGTCATTCCATCAATGGTCATTGGTGAAAACCTACTAAACAATGTGGGAAACAAAGAATCAAGAATAAGAATAAAAGAGGGGCTGTTTACAGTCAGTTCCCCCCAAAGCTATTTTTTTAAGCAAACAGACTATTTACAGTTTGCATGAACATTGCAACCAAATTAAATTTAACATTGTAAATTACATTCAAAGTGTACAGAGATTATGCACAATGCTGAATGGCACTACACAAGTGAGGAACTGTGTCTGGCTAGAAGAAATAAACATTTAAAAAAAGAAAAACCATGCCAAAAACTTGAGGATTAATGATAAAAAACTCAAGAGGAATTCCATGGAATAGATACAAGAGGTTTTCCCTTTAGTGAACGATGGACTGAAATGAAAACAGTTTCAGTTGAACATCTCGACATGCAAAAGGAACCCAACATAAACCTTAAGGGAAAAATGGTATTTACAATACTCCAAAATACTTTCTCTAAAAAACTAGTTTGTTGGAAAGTTATTATCAACCTAATATGATTCTTTATTACCTCTTTACTCCATAAGCCATATTGAGCAGATTGTCCAACCTGCAAAACATTTAGCAAAGTATTCAGTCTCTGGATTTTCTCCTATTCTTCTAAGGAAACTCAGTATATTATTGCCAGTTTCCTTGAACTGTATTCCACAGAATGTGTATGCGAAGTCTGAAAGCTGCTAAGAACTGTGACACACCTTACCATACATGACAGGGTTACTGCACACATGCTCACATTTCCATCAGGTAGTCATGTGTGGAAACAAGTTTCCAGTCTCCAGATTAGTGTAAAAAGTTAAGGAGTCACCAGTGACCACAAACTCACTGGAGTTCTCCAGAAAAATCAGCTTTCATACAAGATTCAGCTCTTATTGAGAGACACTGATACTATGTTGATGGGGAGCATAGACGTACCCAGATCAGTGTATATTTCTCTATTATTGACAGTTGTTAGGAGAAGACTTATCAAAGGATAGAAATAAAAAACATGAGAATATAGAACAATTTTAATTCCACTGTTCTTGTCTTACTGAAAATTTATTTCCAGCGTAGTAAGGCAGACTTGCTATTAGCTTTACAGTTTTTCCCCAGAACTTGTTAAGCAGCGGTGTTAATGCCTTCTTGCCCAGCTGCAAATCTTTTGATAAGAGGAATGCAACAAATGCAAGGATGCCAGAGCATCCTTGAAGATTTAAAACTTATGAATTAACATCTAACCATGTGTTTCTCAAACAGTGAGGCTCCATGGAGAGACTCCAACTTCCTTCTGGGAAAACTCATGCATGCCAAGGGGGAAAAAAAAACCCACAACATTCCCTCTCTTACTTTACAGTTTAGGACTCTACAAAACATGAATTGCTTGTACATTCAGTAAAAAGGGAGTGGTTTTTTATGCTGAGAGAGATGTTAAAAATCAGCCAAAGGGAAAAGAAAAAAAAAAAGCTTTCCTAGTTCACATTAGGACATCCACCCACTTTTTAATAAGACGACCAAAAGATATGCTTATATTGGGAAGTGCCTGAATAATGCTTATACCTCAAGCAGAAAGGCAATATAATGTTTTGTATCAACATCTCATTGAACACCTATTTAAAAGGAGGATGAAGGTAGGGAACTACCCTCAAAGGGCAAAATGGGATTTCCCCTTCCAATGTACATTCAATAATTTTTCTCTGAGACGGTCAATGAACACCATTTATGAAGGTGTTTTGTGATGGGATCATATCGAACAGAACATGGACTGAGATCACCAAAGCTTGTCATGTCATGCTATTGAACAGTCAAATTGCAACTTTTCAGTGTCTACTCACTTGAGTTGATTGAACCTGTAATGTAAACGTGAAATCTCAATTAATCTAGAGTCATTTATTCCCGACACAGGGTATTGTATTTGAGCTGCCTTAAGGAAAAATGGGAGTCCCAAAGAAACCTACCCCATGAGTGCTGTTCCTGAATAGTAAGAAATCTGAAATATTGTCATGTATGTTACATAGTTTTCTGAAAACTTTAGAAAAATCAGTATACTCCAAGCTTCTTCACTGCAATACATGGAGCTATGGTCTTCCTAGAATATATTAGTCAAACTACTTTTAAGAAAGATCATTACAGATGCAAAACTTTGTCCATTGAATTTTTTTTTTTGGTAATAAAACCAACTTAATATAGCAGTTGAAGAGCAACAGCAGGCATCTCCTAGTAGGTATTATAATGGGAAAGAAAAGGAGGCTCGTTGCTTGCTGTAACTCAAAGCTAAGCTCAGAACTGAACAAATAAAACTAAATATTTTCTAACTATGAAGACTAGATCCAAGTTCCCTTCAAAATAATAAATTTCACTATTACGTCACCGCAGTTTGATTTCCTATTTCCAATTTTCAGTAACCCAGAAATTCTGATCAAACATTGCTATAATTTATATAGTTTTCTAAAGCACAAAATTAAATGAGTAACATAATTAAAAAAATTATTTTAATTTCAAACAAAGCTACAGCCACTTCTGGCGAGGATAGACTTTTTAACATGCAATATGATAGAGAGTTTGTTTTTTTTGCCCACCCAGTACTTACCCAAGAACCACTAGTCATGAACTAGCATTTTGTGATCATGCGTGCTTTAATTTATGACTGGTACACCAGTAAAACCAAAGGACACCACAATTAAGTACTTTATATTTATTAGTGTCCCTTCCCCACTTATATTTCCTGTACAATACACTTCTCCCACCCTTTTATCGTACTGTGAAGTGTTTTAAAATGAACTTACAAAACAACCAAGCCAAGTTTTCCAAACATGGGCACCTAAACAGTTTAAATTTCAGAAGCATTTGACACTCACCTCCTATGTATTTCTACTGAGAGCTGAAAGTGCTCAGCACATCTGAAACCCAGGCCAATTATTTGGGTGCCTTAAACTTAGGTACAAAAGTTTAAAACTGCTCTAAACCTTTAAAAAAAGTCAATATATTTAGGCAGAATTTTAAACTGATATTTAATGTTGATAGACTTTTTCTATGATAACTAAGTTAGAAACAAATTTAAGGTCAACCCTCAGTAGGCATCATCTCACTGAAGGAAAGAAATTTACCACATAAGGTCTGCTCTATATTAAGATGTTGTATTGGTATAACTACATAGGCTAAAAACATCACACCTTTTAGCCAATATATTGTTATAATTGTGTTCATACTAGGGGGCTGTATTATTATATGCATGAATAACCAGTATAAAAGGTAGCTTATACCAGTGTAGCTTATTCTCCTTCCTGTGCAGGAATAAAGCCACACTGTTATAAGCACATTTATACCAGAATAACTGCATCCACCTGAGGGGGTTTGTACCAGTATAGCTACACAGCTGTAGTTACAGCAGTATTACTTGTTTGTGCAGACAAGGACGTAGTAAGGCTTCATATGCACTGGTGAGCTTGACTTAAACTGAGTTACAGGCTCTGGATTCTACAGTGTTCCAGTGCACCAGACTGGAAATTCAGTGAGAGTTTCAGATTGTTTTTAAATTTAAAGGGACAAGATTTTCAAGAGTGATTTTGGATGCCTTGTTTTCTGGGTACTCAACACAACAGTTCAGAAGGGCCTGATAATATAATCAGTAGAACAGAATTTCCCTTGTGTTCTTCAATTTGAAAATTTAATTAAAGTTTATGTTGGCCATACATTTTCAGGATACCACCAAATTATTTATCAAAACCCATGTAACTGCACAGCAGAAGCTATTTGAGGGAAGTTTGAGAGATATTGGGGATTATGGAACCAACATGTTAGCTAGATGTTTCTCGTGAAGTAATCAACAAATGAAATAGGAAGAGCTTATATACTACAATTATGTCTGCTATACAAGCCACAAGATATATAGAATGGATGTAAAATTATGACCGTTTGAAAGTTAACACTCTATTGACAAAACAGCATGTTCAGGAGGAATGAGTCAGAAGGCCCAAATTCTAACCCTGCCTCTGCCATTGATTCATTGTGTGGCCTTTAGCCAGTAATTTCACTTTTCTGCCTCCCCTTCCTCACCTGTAAAAATGGGAAGACCATACTTATCCAGCTAACTCAGAGCTTGTGAGATTCAATTAGTTAGTGTCTATAGAGTGTTTTGAACACACAATATTACAAACAATATTACACCTTATTGTTGGGTTTGATAGGAATTAATATTTCCCTCACAGCAATTGTTTCAGGCTGCTTTCAGACACAAGCAGACATCACTGCATCTGTTTGCACTCTTTCTGCAACCATATCAACTAGGAAGAGTATTTTATATTAAACCTGCAAAATTATGTTCCAGGATATAAGAACAGGATAAATTCCATAGCTGTGGAACACATGGGGTCCTTTAGGGAATAGTAATAGCTGGCATTTCCCTATTAGTCACATAACTAGATTAAAAGACTGGGACAGACACCATGATCACTATTCAAAAGCTAGCACTTACAGATACTACACCACTGGTATTCGAGATACCTCAGTTATAATGGCTATAATAAGAAAATAGACTTTTTAATGGAAACAACTGTATCTAAAATAGGAGTGACTCGGGACTTTGATGGCCAATCTTACCAGAAGGTGCTGAATGCCACAACAGAGGCCTGACGGATAGGGTGACCAGATGTCCCGATTTTATAGGGACAGTCCCGATATTTGGGACTTTAACTTATATAGGTGCCTATTACTCCCACCCCGTCCCGATTTTTCACACTTGGTGTCTGGTCACTCTATTGACAGATGCCTTGACAGCAAGAGTTATTTACCTCTGTTTTCAGGTCCGCAAAACAACTCCCCCATGATCTTACTTCAGTACAGTGCATTCTGGGATGTGTCGTCTTAGCAGTGCAATTTCCACTCCTGCAGTCAGCACTGGAGCAGGCAGTCTGCATATGGAAAAAGGGCAAGTCTATTTTTATTCAATATTCAGCGGTTTTCTGCAGCTTAATCTTTTTATACCCTAGTTAAGGAAATCCACTGAATACTGAATTAAACCAGTTACCCTTTCCCCTAAGACAGACTGCCTGGTCAGCACTGGAGCATTACTGGGCAGGGGGGCACTTCATGTCACCAGCACTGAATGCCAAGAGGTTGTGGAGCTGTATGACTGTAGTCGCTGGTGAGCTGCTTAGCAGAGATGTAAATAAACGTTTAGAACGTCTGCCAAAAATGTGGTCTATGATGTTTGTTTGGGCATTCAGCCTTCTAGTGAGTGTGGCCAGCTTGCAGCTTTTGTAACTGTGTGCACACTTTTCAAGGAGATATCAGCTGATCCACTTTTTACTTAGAGAGAACAGACTGTTTTTACTGTATATTTAAGCTTTTCAATGTTTAATGCATTCTAGTCACACACCCCAGGAAAAAAAAAAGCGCAAAAATCACTGAAAGAAAAAGAAAAAGCCATCGGGTTTATGAATGTAGATAATACAGTATTTGTTTCACTCTCTTCTCACCATCTGTCCTTTTCGATACACTAAATATCACTGAGAAACATTTATGGCTGTAAACTCAAAAGCATGGGAAAAAAAGATGCACAAAAAAAAATACACACCACACAAGATATGTGGCTACATTTTCAAAATGGAAGTGTAGGGTCAAACAAGGAGATATATGGCATGCAGAATTTAGATCTCTTAACTAGAAACAAAAAAGTAAGTGAAAGGTAGTGTTTTGGCTGTGGCACACCATATGGCCAAGGAGGAAATTAAATTGTCTAAACCAACGTTAACTGAATTGACTTGCTTATGAAGTCAATAGTACTCTAAGAAATTAAAAGTAACTTTAAAAATCATGATTCTCTACTGATGCCGGCTTGGGGAAAAAAATATCCTGGCTTAACATTAAATGTTGCTAATTAAATAGTTTACTAGATATTTAGACTCTGGTCTGGTTAGATGGCAGTGCTTTCTAAAACAAATTGTTCCGCACCATACATTTGAAAGACTTTCAAAAATATGAAGTCTCTTATGAAGGGCGGGGATGGAGATCACTTCAGGAGGAAACTGAAATGGGTAGGCCCATGGGAATTTCAGAAGTCAATGGTTCAGCCATAAACGTAACGTATTTGACTTACCTAAAGCGTTGAGCCTGCTGAGCTAGAGGTCCTGGATACCTTCTGTTTGGAGACTGATACAGCTGGGAAAGGATGGCCTGATTGGTTTTTTGGCTTGGATTGTTAGCAAACTTGACGGTGATTGGCTCTGTGGCACCTGGAGGCTTCTGCCCATTCAAACCTTTGATAGCTTCTTCTGCCTCAATCCGCTTGTCAAATCGGATGAATCCTACACCTCTTGATACCCCTGCATAGAGTGAAAGAAGCACATGTTGATTCATTAATTCAGGAGACTTGTAGAATGCCCAACATTAGGAAGATTAAATGTAAGTTTACAGGTTACTATAAACAAGGAACTTCCAGCAGCAGAGATTCAGTTCTGGCAACTAGTACAAAATGTGACTTTTCTAATCCTGTCAGTTAGGAATACAACAGGCCACACAGTACATCTGAGCCAGTTTGTATGCAAAGGAGATTGGGGAGGGGAAAGGGAATTCTAGCTGTGACAGGATTCAAGCAGTTGGGGTGGGGGGAGGAATTCTGAAATAACGTCAGCTGATTCCAGACCAGGGGTGGGAAAACTTTTTGGCCTGAGGGCCACATTGGGTTTCCAGAATTGTAAGGAGGGCTGGTTAGGGGAGACTGTGCCTCCCCAAACAGCCAGGTGTGGCCCGGCCCCCAATCTAACCCCCCCCCGCTTCTCGCCCCCTGACAGCCCCCCTGGGACTCCTGCCCCATCCACCCCAACCCCCTAATCACCCCCAGAATCCCTGCCCCACCTAATCCCCTCCCCCGGGACTCCTGCCTCATCCGACCACCCAGGGGTGCACTGGAGAAAGGATGCCTACAATAATTGTGCCATGTTCAAGACTGAAGTACAGATTCTGGGTTGCAACAATGGGAATTTCTGCTATTTTAATATTCAGTGTTCATGTTCCTATAAACCTGATGCATGATTTCAATACTTCACTGCACAGCATTTTATCTCCCTCAACAAAAGCCTATTTCCAGCTTTCCTTGTCTATAGATTATTTAAGATATATATTGTGGAAGGGAAGCGGCGAGATGGAAACATTTGGTGTGGGCAGGAAGCAAGGAGGGTACTAATAGTAAAAAAAAAGAGGGAAGGTCTAAGGAGCACATTAAACCTCAAACAAGTGGTTTAAAATGAATTTAGTTTACTTGGACAAATTAACGTGAATGGGAGGAAAACTGCAATTATTCATAGGCCTATTGCATTTGTTTCATCAGTGAAAGGACAAGGAAAAGTTAGAAGTTTGCCCACAAGCTCTTTTTGAAATTTTTAAAGGGAAAAAAAATTCTATTAACAATGACAACTTAACATCAAAATGGCAAGGAACAAGAGTAAGGAAGTTTAAAGAGCTGAATGTCACAGGCTCAACTTTGCATTTCTTATCTGTCAGTTTGTGTCACAACATTATTATTCAGATCATTTTGAATCTAACTCTTCCCTTTACCTTTAGAATAGTGTGAAAAAAACACTTAGAAGGCTGCACAATACTTCTCTAGGATGAAAAACAGTTCTTACATTAATTCGTATGAGAATGTGTATTTAGGGTCTTCTACCCACTGTATTTAGGGTGTACTACACACTATATATACATACCTTTTACAAATCTAGTCACCTGTTTGTTTTGGTACCAGATCATACATGCTATTTGCACATGAATACTCATGAGAAATGTAATGAGTATTTAGTGGATTGTTTTTAGGGCTTGGGACTGGGAAACTGCATATTCTAATTCTGGCTCTACCACAAAATTGGTGTTTCACTTGGGCAGATTGCAACACGCATTTTCTCCAGCTATAGAATACCTACATGCAATTGCTCACTAATTATCGATAAGTTTGCACACACTATTAGTCATACAACAAACTAAATTTGGTGTTAGAACTTTGTTGAAAGCATGAGTTTACTTTTCTTTTATAGCTAACTTTATATCCTGTTTAGAGAACAAATTAGAAAAGGTCAAAAATGTTTCTTTCCCACAATTTTGTCAAACTACACTGACACTACAGTTGGAATTCCCATCCACTAAACTGACACTATGCGGGTCAATGGGATTAGAAAGGAAAAAAAGACTTGAAAGGGTCGGGGGAACGAAAGGGACTGAAAGGTTTTTGAGAGGAGAATCCTTCTCTATGCCCCAGCCCTTGTTGTACATTGTTTAAATACAGTCAGTGAAAACGTCTCCTTTATTTGATATTCTGTGCCAGCCTTTACAGAACAACTTTGGTGTAGGCAGAAGATGTACTGCTTCCGAAATTCAAGTCAGCCAGTTGAACGGTCATGAGTATACAGAAAAATTACACACACTGTCCAAATCTGACTAGTAAAAAGATGCCATTGGACATTTTGTGCCATCCAGCCTGTATCGGAGGCACATGCTAAAAAAAGTATCTAACCTACCAGAGTTCCTAGTTTGCTTTTCAGTCTGTGCTAGCACTGCTAAGGAGCTGATAAAATTCTGTACTAAGGATCTCAAAGTTCATATTCTTCTAAAGTGCCCACAGTAGACGATGCAACCTTGAAAACAGTCTTAACAGCAATTACTAGTTCGGGTCTTGTGTAATCCTAGCCTGAGAGAACTAGCTGTGCATTACTGCATAAAATTTTGCTTTTTATAAAAAGATTGTTTATTAGCATTTTATAAGGAGCATAGGGACCATTTTCACGCAGCAGCTTGGAAATGAAGATTATAGCAGCTGTAAATTTATTACAAGCCATGAAACAGGCTTCAAACCTGCACCTTCAGGGTAGAAATGACTCAGGCTGGCTCACTACACTCCACAATCTATTTTTGTCCATGCATATTTATGAACAATTCCAGCAGAAAATTGTATTTTCTGGCCCACATATACCTTTGATATGTTCTGGAGGCAAGTCTGCTGCCTTGGAAGGTGGAATATTTCACAACCTGCCAGTCTGAGAAAGTGAAAGAGGCAGTGCAGAGCAGCTGCCTACTTACCAGTGACTTGGTCAACTAGAATACGAGAAGTAATAATGCGTCCATATTGAGAAAAGAGCTGCTCCAGTTCCTTCTGGGTCATTGTTTTTGGAAGTCCACTGACGTACAAATTTGCATCTCTGATAGAAGCTGAACTTGGTCGCGCATAGGAAACCTTGGGAAAGGGAGGGTAATTTATTTTATTTTTTTTTAAAAAACTACTCAGACCATGACTGAAATGGGACAAAAAAAAATTGCGCCTCCCACTTATTCAAATGACTACAAGGTAATTACAAAAATACTGCTCAGTGAGGTAAAACTTGTTTTCAAATGTTGCCTTGAGTGTCAAATAATCAAAAGAGCACCACAAGGCAAAGGAATAGGGTTTATTGAATACCCCAAGCCAGTTAAGTTGTAATTTAAAGCCGTATTCCAGAGTAAAGGAGAAGAGTTGTGTGTGTGTGAATAGACACTTAAGCCGGACGTTGGAATAAAAGTGCTCTTTTTACACTAATTTAAGCCCTTTTGTGATAAGATTAAAACGTATAAATATCCTATCCATTTCTTTATCAGAAAAATCTGTTCTATTTTTATCCATTCAGTTCAATCTCCCTACACACTAAAAATGCAAGAATTAAAGTTGCTTTGAGATCAATGCCATAGATGCCTTAAGAAAGGCAATCCAACACATTGGCAGCTTTGCTACTCCAGTATTCAAGGTGTTGCCCTACTCCTCTTGCACATTTGTCTGACTCCCCCAAATAAAATACAATCATTCCTAAATGTCAGAACTAGATAAACAGGGCTAAAACTGCTAAATTTTATAGCTCTATTTTTAAGAATAAGTAGCCAGGGTGGGCATATACCATACTAGTTTTTTTTGCACATTTTGAAAGAATGCTAGTGTCACAAAACCAAATCCGACTGATAGTCTAAATTCTCCAGATTCTCTTGGACATCAGATATTGGGAACTCTAGCCAGTTACTTTAAGGGCTACTCAAGACACCTACTACAATGGGGATAAACATTGCTGCCAAGGTTTTCAGGACTATGGCCTAAAATCAGGCTCCTAAATCCTTAAGCCCTTAAAGAAGCAGCCTGATTTCCTAACATGCTAAGAATCCAGCACTCCCATTGAAATCAACATAACTGAACTGTCACCTTTATTGCTAAAAAGCACATTAAAATCAAAAGTCTGTATAAACAGGGCACGAGGGGCAGAATGTATCATTTGGCACCTTTCCATTTAGAGTGGCTAGAGAGGTTACATTTTATCAATCTGGATGATCATTTCCTCCCCCCACCCGTTATTTGACATTTATCGAATCCAAAAAAAAAACAACCACCACCCTTTATTTCCATACAGCCCAGGATCTCTGTGACAAGACTGCAAACACAGATACTCATTAGGTATCATAAATCAATGATTTTTAAAGTGCCCACTAGGAGCTAGACTACAAGGGAGACTACGTAACACTACCAGCACCTCAGTCAACTGGAAGTAATTAAGTAATAGTGTCATTTTGGCATATAGAAAGCAGTCACATTTTGCCAGCTACCTGGAACCAGCAGCAAGCTTAACTTTTATTAAAATCAAAATAAAACATTTCACTGACACTTTGGTCAGTTACTATTCCACCAAATGAAACAGTTTGTCCATTTGCATTGGTGAGGGCAAGCCTGCGAGCAGAAGTTTAAAAGCCGATTTTGTTAAATTGTAGAATTAGCTTTCCATTCTTGTCACCCAATAACCTCCATACTGATAAAAATCCCTATCGCAGTGGTTCTCAAACTTTTTTTCGCAGTCCACTTGAAAATTGCTGAGGATCTCGGCGGACCACTTAATGATCTTGCCAAATGTTTGTACCACTAGCTAAGTACTGTAAAGCGCTATGGATAAAAGCGCTATATAAAAAAACTCCTTAATAATTAACTTTTTTTGTTCTACAAATAAAAGCACACAACTCATATTTTAATATCAGTAGTCTACCTTTCGAATGTGATCGATGTGCCCTCTCCTCCCTGCTGCGGCAGTCCCCAAGCTGGGGCTGGGAAGGAGGGCTGTCTCTCCACGGCAACCGCAGCCCTGGAGATGGGGAAGTCACCTTTCTCTGGCCGCCGCAGCCCTGCATGTCCCAAATTCCCCCCACCCCCTCTTCTCACCCCACTGCCCCCTCCCACTTACCCCCTATTCCCCCCAAAGCCACCACATCACCTTACATGTGCGTCTTCTCCAGGCACCTAATTAGTGGAGCCACACCTGCATGGCTCTACTAATTAGGTGGGTCTCTATTTTCTCTTGTGCGGCTGCCTAGGCATGCATCTTAGAGGGAACTATCCACGGACCACCAGAATGGAGCTCACGGATCACTGGTGGTCCATGGACCACAGTTTGAGAACCTCTGCCCTATCGTATGTCCATGTAGGACTACTTTCAGGCATCTCCTACTGCACCGAGTATTTATTGCTAGACATTTCACATGGGGAAAATTTCTAGAATGTCTGTAGTCCTGTAACCTGTGCTAGTAAGCTAATCGAATGGCATCAAGGCTACAGTAGTAAAAATCGATTACGATCATGTCACAGTATTAGGTAAGGTAAGTTATCCACGGCATAGGTAGAAATTTTACCAAACCAGTTTACAAACATTTTAAACTAGACCAACACAAGAGCAGAGATGAGAAAAGGTAGGGTAACAGGCACTTCAAGCACAGGCTGTTCGTTTCACACATTGCAGAATTCTCGTTTCTTAACAGCCTCACATACGGCAGATGAAAAATTTAAGAAGTTTCTATGGAAAGGCAAAATTTATTTCCTAGCTGTAATTCTGTTCCCCTCCTATTGATTCACTAAGCTGTACAAGAGTCCACTTTATCCGTTTTAGAGGAATGGAGGCATGTTTTTTATTTTGGGGTGAGAAGGACACGACTGAAGTACCGTATATACTCGATCATAAGCCGGTTAGTTTATAAGCCAATCCCTACCCCCTAAAATGGATAAGTAAAAATGGAAATTTTTTATAACCCATTCAGAAGCCGACCCTATAATTCAGGCGTCAGCAAACTATGGCTCCCGGGCCATTAAGATAAGCCACTGATGGTACAAGACGGTTTGTTTACCTCGAGCAGCCGCAGGCACGGAGGTAAACCTAAATAAACAAAGTGTCCTAGCGCGCCAGCTGCTTACCTTGACCGGCTGGGACAGCAACTGGTCGGGAAATTTGTTTGGGGGAGAAGCTGGGAGTCAGGGGAGTAACCCATGACCACTCCCATAACCCCACCACTAGCCCTGGACCCCCAAACTCTCCCCCATCCCATCCCTTCCCACCTTATCTGGGGAGGGCCAAGGGAGGAGGTCTCTGACCTGGCTGGAGCTGCTCCGGCAGGCTGGGCAGCGCAGCTGCAGCATGTTCCAGCGGGCTGGGCGGTGCGGCCACAGCCTGCTCCAGCGCCCGGGCAGCACGGCCACAGCCTGCTCCAGCGCCCGGGCAGCACGGCCACAGCCTGCTCCAGCGCCCGGGCAGCACGGCCACAGCCTGCTCTGGGGAGGTAACACTGAGTGACCCAGGCATAAGCTACTACAGGGCTGACTTCTGGAGGCTGCAGAGAGGACGGAAGAATAGCTCATAGGGGACTCAACTGTTTCAATAATCTCAGGCCAGCCGGCAGCCAGGCAGATGGACCCCAAAGGAGTCCGAGCAGGAGTCCAGTTTACAGCCAAGGAGTAGGGGATTGAGTTGTCTAAGCTGGCCAGCCTGTAGAAGAGCACAATAGCCAAAGCTCAGAGAAGTAGGGACAATGAATTGCTGAAGCTAGGTACAAGCTTCCTTTGCACATATTTGGGGGGTGAGAAAGAGGTGATGGCCTGGAACACAATGGGATACAAGGCCCAGAGAGGGGGGACAAGCTGCTTGGAAAGCACTGCAAAAACAAAACAATTGTGAGAAGCAAGTCACTGTTGTAAACACACTGATGAATTTTACATCTAGGAGAATTTTCAGCTGTGAATCCCAGCTCTAAGAACACATGGAGAGGGAGAATGGTAATGAAGGGCCTTTTGTGACTAATTCAGTCCCTTTGTGCTGAGGAGCACTCCTGGCCCTTTGAGTCCGTAATGGACTGACAAAAGGACCATTAGCTGTGTTGCCTTATTGTGACACTTCAGCCCCAATTTGATGTTTCTCCTTTGTCACTAAATGAGAGAATCCCATGCTAAACTAAACATCTACAATACTAGACATATACAGAGACGCTCTATCCAAAGTAGTGGCTCCATACCAAGTTTAAAATTACAGGTGAAACACAGTTTTGCCTCTCGCCTGCATTGGATCCATTGCTCTAGACAGACACCAGTACTCACAGGAAGTAGCAAGCAGTGACACATCCATACACAATGTAGGGAAAGAGTAATAAAATACTAACACAAGGTAAGTCACTACAAATAAAGGAAAGTGGTGACTGTAGGTCAGATATCTCCCACTGAGAGGTTTCTACAAACCATAATTAGCCCAACATTTATAAATATGCTGTTAAGTCTATTCAATTAGCTTTGAATTCCAGATATTTCTACGTCTCTATAAATAGACATTTTTAATTGTTTATCTACTGCCTGATCCATGGAGAATGACAACTCAATTTTGTACTGCTTAAAAAAAAAATTATGTATTGAAGACCAAGCAGCACTTTTGCATGTACACTTAACAGAGCTGATATTTCTCCATCCAAGACACTGCCCAGTGCCCCAATGAGGGAGTTTGTACTCAGATTTGTTTGTAGGCTCTGGCGAAAAGCAGAATGGCATTATTGGTTCCAAAACAACAACAACAAAATCACTAATAGCAGCCTTAAGGCAATGGCCTCCCTGCTTGCGACCTCCATGGTAATCCTGGGAGGGGATGCAACTTAACGTCAGATGCTAGAACTGCCTTTGGCTGACACCCCTCTCTTCTCCCAACATCCTCAATTCACATTGTACCATTAGGAGGCAACTAAGCTGCTGGCTACAGCAGTAGGTAGGGGGAGGAAAGGGAGGAATAAACACTGGGTGAATAGAAAGGGGGATTTCTAATGCTAATGGCATCTGTTTCAAGTCTACACTTCATGCTTTCCAAGTGTGAGCGAAAAAAAATGGAGGTAAACTAGTTTAATAGGAGAAAGGAATCCCATGCATACGGC